TTCTGGCCCTTGTCACTGGATTCCTGTACCTCGTTAGTCTCATTTGATTTTACGGGGCTGTCCACTCCCAGGCTGAACAGTGAACCTCGGAGGTAACTTCACCACTGAGCTAAAAGGGTGTCTGGGGGCCATACTTGGTTTTGGACTTTTTTGACTGATAATTATTTTTACCTCTTTTTGACACTGTGGTCAGGCAATGAGAAATAGACATTTTCCTTTTTTTGTGGGGTTCGAAATTTTCATTGTGGTATGATAGGTGGTCATTTCTCACAAATGCTCTTTAACCGTTTGGAAAAGAGCTCTATTTTTTTGTGGAGTGCAAAGTTTGATACCTGTTTTGTTAGCCCTATTATTATATTGAAAACCCTGGTGGCATAGTAGTTGAGAGCTACGGCTGCTAACCAAAAGGTCGGCAGTTCTAATCCACCAGGTGCTCCTTAGAAACTCAATGGGGCAGTTCTGTTATCTCCTGTAGGGTTGCCATGAGTCAGAATCGACTCGGCGGCAATGGGTTATTATTATATTGGTCAGAATCTCTAATACAAAATAAAATAAACATAGACATTGAGCCTGTGTTCATTCCCCCTCCCCCACCTGATCTTGGAGACCGATAGATACGAAGAGTTGGCCATTTCTTCTGTGTTTCTAAGCATTATGGGCTTTATTTTTATTTCAGTAAAATAATGGTGACACCATAAAGATTGATATCATATTGTGAATTTTATATGTTAGCAATATAAAATGACCCCTCTTTTCTCCATTTAGTACTCTCTGATATGAATTCTACTGTCTTGACATTTAAAAAAATAGTAAGGCAGCATTAATGCTGCTTTATTTTTATTTGAGTCCCTAGGTAGCAACAACAGTTTTTTTCTAGGCAACGCAAGATTTTCACTGGTAAAATTTTTTCAGAATTAAACCCCCAGGTCCTTCTTCCTACTCTATCTTAGTCTGGAAACTCTGCTGAAACCTATCTACCATGGGTGATCCTGCTGGTATTTGAAATACCAGTGGCATAGCTTCCAGCATCACAGCAACACACAAGCCACCATGGTACCACAAACAGATGAGTGGTGAGTTGTAATACTGAAAGATTCTGTGGGCAAAATATTGAACAATGCAGGAAGCATCAAACGAAAATGGAAGGAATACACAGAGTCACTGTACCAAAAAGAATTGGTCAACATTCAACTATTTCATGAGGTAGCATATGATCAAGAACTGATGGTACTGAAAGAAGTCCAGGCGGCACTGAAGGCATTGGTGAAAAACAAGGCTCCAGGAATTGACGCAATACCAGCTGAGATGTACAGATGCAGCGCTTGTCTATGCCAAGAAATTTGGAAGACAGCTACCTGGCCGACCAACTGGAAGAGATTCACATTTGTGCCCATTCCTAAGAAAGGTGATTCAGCAGAATGCAGAAATTTTAAAACAATATCATTAATATCACACACAAGTAAAATTTTGCTGAAGATCGTTCAGAAGCGTTTGAAGCAGTACATCAACAGGGAATTGCCGGAAATTCAAGCCAGATTCAGAAGATGTGGAATGAGGGATGTCATTGCTGATGTCAGATGGGTCTTGTCTGAAAGCAGAGACTACCAGAAAGATGTTTACCTGTGTTTTATTGACTATGCAAAGGCATTTTACTGTGTGGATCGTAACAAATTATGGATAACATTGAGAAGAATGGGAATTCCAGAACACTTAATTGTGCTCATGCGGAATCTATACATTGACCAAGAGGCAGTCGTTTGAAGAGAACAGGGGGATACTGCATGGTTTAAGATTAGGAAAGGTGTGTGTCAGGGTTGTGTCCTTTCACCATACTTAGTCTGTATGCTGGGCAAATAATCCGAGAAGCTGGACTATATGAAGAAGAATGCAGCATCAGGATTGGAGGAAGTCTCATTAACAACTTGTGATATGCAGATGACACAACTTTGCCTGCTGAAAGTGAAGAGGACTTGAAGCACTTACTGATGAAGATCAAAGACTACAGCCTTCAGTATGGATTACACTTCACCATAAAGAAAACAAAAATCCTCACAACTGGACCAATTAGCAACATCATAATAAACAGAGAAAAGATTGAAGTTGTCAAGGATTTCATTTTACTTGGATCTACAATCAATGC